GTAGGGAAATATATTCAGTAGGATATGCATATCTAGGTTCTCCATATAAGGAAATATGTAAAAACATGCAAATACGATAAGGTATATGCACTTCCATAGTGTAAAGACATACCTCTTAATGGCCAGGCATGAACTATGATGACTTTAATTCCTAGCATGAAGAGCATTCTAATAACTATCATATGCTGAACTCTTTGTTATGTGTCAGGCACTGGACTAGGCCATTTGTACATTTCTCTATAATCTACAAAAACATCCTGCTGCTGGAGAGCAGGCCCATTTTACAGAAGACACAACTATGAGAGGCAAATTACTTTGCTGGAGGCCATCCAGTTAGTAAGCTAGGGAAAGCAGGGCTCATACCTAGAACTGTCTGCCTCTAAAATCTGTGCTGTCCTACTACATCAGTGGCTTCCAAACCTTTTTAGCAACAGAACTATTTTTCCAAATGAATCTTACATGAAATTCCTATGCATAGAGAAAAGTAGTATTTCACTTATTTTGTAAGCTCAAGGTATAATATATTCTTATAATAAAGTCTATTATTGAGAACAATTAAGCTATTTTGATGAACTTGAAAATTTGACACTGAGGGTCGGGGATGCCAACTGCAGCATTAGATCTGTTGATTCCTCTCCTGGTTGCACATTATTAAGAAAAGTCCCAGGGACTTCCCTGGAGGTCCCGTGGTTAGGACTCCGTGCTTCCACTGCAGTGGGCCCGGGTGCGAGCCCTGGCCGGGGAACTAGGATCCTGCAAGCTGCACAGTGCAGCCGAAAAAAAAAGAAAAGTCCCGATATATACCGATGAGTTAACCGCAAACAACACCTGTTTTTAACAGCTTGTCCTGTGACCATGGAACATTCTTTAATAAGGCAGACAAGACAGGAGAGCTACCTAACCGGGCAAAACCAGATTAATCTGTCAGCACAAGGCCATATGCTGGTGGCATCCAACACCACACAGTGTGTGTGTACAGCGAAAGAAAGATGGAAATGTGTAACCAAGCGCGGACAAGACTGTGCTGGCTGCTGAAACCTGGAGTCTACCAAGCTCCCCAGCGTGCTGGTAAAAGTTTTTAAATATCTTCTCAAATACTTTTCTCAGATTTTGGAGAATCTCTATAGAGTGCTAAAGCCCACAGAGCACAGCTTGGAAACTTCTCCTCTGCACAACAACGAATACGGTCCCTCTATAGATGGCACATTGTGTCAAAACAGTATTTTATGGCAACTGTCCCCAAAGCAAGACAGCCGGCAGAATGTAGGACCCTGAGGCCTATTAACCTGTATTTTTGATTTGGTTTAAATATGTTTGTGTTTTACTTCTATAAACTACAACAACAAAGTAGTATAAGATCAGCACTCGCATAATATAATAGTAACATAACATAGTATATTAGTATAATATATAAGTAGTTAGTATAATATAATTAACATATTATAATATATACACATACATACATGTATATACAAATACATGTGTGAATGTGTATCTATAAATAAAACATCAGAACCTTTTAAAAGAGAAAAACTGTAAATGCAGTTTTCCAGCATATCATTAAATGGTTACATTTTGCTTAAGTTTTACTAGAGCTAATTCAAGGGCTTGGGAGAATACATTTTAGAGACCGCAGAATCTTCCAACTTTGAAGCTGGTAGAAAACTTAGAGACTCCTTCC